CACCTATTTGCAACCCTTTAATCACACAGCAGACATTTATTTATTTATTTATATATATATATATATATTTATATATATATAGAGAGAGAGAGAGAGAGATATAGCTATTGAATATATTTGGTGTTGTATACAATCTACATTGTAATTAATTTCTACATGGTTCTCAACTTAACAATCTTGAAAACTGTAAAACCGTAAATCAGAAATACGTTTTAAAAAACCTTTTAAATGACTTGAGTTAAAACTATTTTAAACTTCAGATTTAATACAAAAACATTTGTTTTACACTTATGGAAAATGGTTTAATTTACATGCTGTCTCCCAAAAACATTTATTACTATTGTAGATTGCACCAATTCCAAATTCAAAATATAAATGATGAAAAATCGTTTTAATCTATATTTGAAGAACTATTGTAAATAATGATGAGCCCTAAGAGTAATTAAAAATTAGAAGTGAAGAATATTGAAATTTTAGCTGACTGAATATTAACTTTAAATTTTTGTTGTAATATAACTTTTTAAATTTCGTTTATTATATAATTTTAACTCACGCGCTGGTTTAAAAGTAAATTGTAATATAACTTAACTCATAAGGGTAGGGTAATCACATTTTTTGGTGGCTAAATTTAGTTTTTCCTGTCCAAAAAATATTCGTTGTGTAACAGTTGAGTCAGTTAACTTTATTTATACTTAATATTATAAGTACTTAGTATTATAAGGTGGGTAAACTGTATAACTTTTGTACCGGTGACGGTCGACAACGTCCTCTCTACAGTGGCTATGACGACTCCGCAACGGCAGTGTAGATGGACGTCAACGGTGAAGGTGGCTACTGAGTTTATGATAGTAGTAGTGGTGACAGATGTGGATCCCAAACCGACAGCGATGTCGGACGATGACTATGGCGGTATTGGACGATAATCGACACTTGACCAGTGAACCGAAATTGCGACGACGTTGGACACTGGCGGCACGAACAAGTGACATTGGTGGTAGGAAATGTTGGTCGGTAGCGGTGGTGGACGACGGTTGGCATCAGCGGCAATTGTTCAGCGACGACGACAACTCGGCTGGACAGCGGCAGTAAGCAGTACTCAAGTTTTCTGTTTGTTTAGTGAACATACAGAAGCGTGTTTAGTAGTTGAATGAATGGATTTCTGCTTTCTGTTCAACATATTTTATGCTCACTCACGTCTCCTTCACTATAGAAATTCGTTATTTTCATCTGTTTAGTCGACATCGATCAAACAGAAATCGGTTGTTACATTATGCTCCGTTGCACAATGCATATAATTCTGGTAATTTTCTGGGGGCTAAGCTCCCCTCGCCCCCATAACCCCTCCACAATACGTATATGACTAAAGTCTTCATCAGTAATAACGATTTAGTTTGTAATTCAAAATTAATAGAACGATAGACATTTAAAGTTCAACCAAACTAATTTGGTATCAATTCAATGATTACATCTATAAAAGCCATTACCCATAATTGTTTGATACATCATTACATATACTTAGTGGAGTTAATGTATACTTAATTAAGAATAGTACTGTCTTCGCAATAAAATTACACACGAACAAATTAATCATAATTAACGTTTGCGGGCCATTTTTTCTTTTTTTTATACTAAACGTTCTGTTGTTTACTTTAATAATAGAGTTTACGCATATAATATCATACCATTTTAATTAGAATTATAGTATATGTTATTGTTAAGTTTATTTATCGATGAAACTTATTAAGTTTCATGGTAAACGTTAACCACATTCTCATCTAAAGCTTTTAATTAATTTGAAAGGAATTTCAATAATAATTTCTAAAGCGTTATAAATTAATTATTTTTAAACAATAGGTTACTATGCAAATACAACTTAAGAATTTTTATGTTTCCTGATAGTTTTTGTTGAAAAAGTTGAGTTAATAATAATACTATTATTTCAATTTTGTATTATGTAATTGGAATTAATGAAGCAGGACTGTTGTTTCACCAGTACATAGTTCGCAAAAAACCTAAATTAATGAATGTGAATGATTGAATTCGTGTAGGTAGGGGCCATGTAGTTAGGTACGTACGAATTGATACTTGGTGCGAGAGTTAAAATCCCTCGCCACATCTCTATTTCTGAATTAACTGCACCTAAAGTATGGAATTCCTGGTCCAGGGTAAAAAAACACCATATGTGGCAATTCGTTCATGATAGTTTACATATCCTCCTCCGCTAAAATACAGGTAAAAATACGACGATGTAACGTAGCATATAATCATTCCATGAACATTGTTCTTGAATATTTTTTATATAACTCTTATCGAATTCAGTGACAATGTATGTGTCTTTTTAAATATATATATTATTGAAATAAGCAAGTTAAAAATAAGTACAAGTAAAAATAAAAAAAAAATTGTTTTCTTGTAATTAAGAAAAGTTATAATAATTAGGAAGTATATGAATATAGAAATATATATTTTGATTAAAAAAAAACAATAAGATATTTTAAATATAGAGTGATTCATTAAGGCTAAAACACTATTTTTCTTGGAAACTATTAAATAAAATTAGTTTTTGTTACAAATTATTTGATTCAAAAAACCATACAATAATCTGTTGTAAAATAATTTTGTTTTCATCTCTAATAGGTCAAAGCACTTACATTCAATTATCTTTTTTGGGAACCTCGTTTTTAACTTAATAATATGATAGAAAAAAACAATTTTATTCTTTCAATTTTTTTTATCCAACGGACCATCAGGTACATCATTTTAATAAGTAGGATGATTATGTAGCGTAGGTGAGTGAAGCTTATAATGGTGTATGTGTACTTCGCTAGTTACCGATACCAAAACGATAAACAATACAATTTTATAACACAGAAATCTAAATATACAGAGCGATCGACTTATCATAAACCAGTCGATTACTCAAAAAATAAATATTATATTGGATAAACATTTTTTGTTCTTTCTTATTTATATATATTTCTTGATTATCAGGTACATTGAAAAAAATCCTAAAGTAAAATTAAAAAATACACAATCGATATGCGCCCAATAATATTTTTGTTAAATAAATAGAATTTTTTTTTATTAATTGAACAATTTTTTTATTCCTCTAACAATACTAATGATTGAAAAAAACTATGATTTATTTAACAAAAAAATTATTGGACGTATTTTTAAAAATACTAATTAAAATAGTTAAAAGTCTAAAATACTTTAAACATTAATCTAACTGAAGTTTTTCCGTAACTAATCAGCTGCCAATTGAAGCTAAATAATACATAAAAATATAAAATGATTAGATAAAGAAATTTAGATAGTTGTAACATTATACACTTTTTTAACAATTATTGTCATAAGAGCCGTTGGAGTAAGAAATATATGGATATCTTTTTAAGTCATTTATAAATATATTTTTAATCTTTAAGTATTTGTTTAACAAAACATTAAATTAATTTTAATTTTAATAGGTATTTAACTTAAAATATAATCCGGATTGTTTACAATGATTTTGGTTTTAATATAAGTAAATCATGTAATTATAATAAATTCAAACTATGTTTTATATTATTAATTTTATCAATGTTAAATTAACAATATAAATAAATTATTTTTGGTTTATAATATATATTTTTTATCAAATACAATAAACAATTTTTTTGAAAATTAAACATCTAATTTATCAAATTAAATATAATTTATATAAATAGTATAATGCTAATGAATATCTATAGAAATATGTAAAAATGTGAATTTATTCAACAATAGCATAGAGAAGTTGATTTTTAATCAAGTACAGTTATTTTGGCAATGTCTTAAATTTCCCTTTTTATACAAATTATACGATTAAAAAAAAAAAAATGTCATAGAAGTATTTTACATAACATAGTATATTATTTTAATAAAAATAATTGTTCACAATAATTCATAAAAAATTTTATTTTTATTTTAGGACTACAGGATCTATTTTAAATTTATTTACAACAATTTTGTAATTACTATACTTAATTTACATTACATCAAGTACAAATTAATTTTGAGGAAAGAACTCGATATATTCGATCATTTTTTTATAAACTACAACATAAACTAATTTCTTGTTACGATAATAATCACTTTTATAAACGGTAGATTTTTTTTAGGACTGTGTAATAATTTTATTAATTGATGACTAATATCTACTCGAAAATATAAACAATATGTCCATTATTAATTGAAAAATATCCGTTATTGATATATAATCAGTGTAATTAATCGATTATAATTAATTAATTCTTACTAACCGAATTACTGATTATAATTGGATTATTGATTGAGATATTGATTATTTTGAAATAAAATTAATTACTTATATGAGAAATTCCATTAGTCGAAAAAACAATTTTACAGGAAAAAAAAACTTCCTCTGCTTTCATAGAAAAATGAAAAACATCGTAAGATGATGAATACTTTAAAGTACCCTAAATTAAAATTGACAACATGATTAAAAAAGTTTTTATTTATATATTATTGGAAAAATATGAGTATTAAGTTATCGAACTTAAAAGGTATCATAAATAAACAACGCTAATTATTCAAAAATGCATGCAAACTAATAGGTAACTTTCAAATTTGACAAAAAAGTTTTAATCTTACGTGTGAGCACTATTTGCACAGTGAAAATTTAAAGTACACTTATACACATGATGGATTTGAATACAAATATTTCACCTTCAAGGTATATGACATTACATATACACCAAAACTTTGTATTATCAAATTGATAATGAATGAATATTATTGAGGTATACAATACACAAGGCGTATTTAACTTAAGGTTCATATGGGAAACATCGTAATTCTTGGATTTTTGTTATTTTCCTGGAGAATGGCAAAAATAAATTGTAATTTAGGCGACAAAAGTGGTGCATACACTGGTTTAGAATATGTATATACAACTCCGAAATGGAAAATAACTAAGAGTTTTTGGCCAAAATAGTGTCTTTATAGGTGTTTTCAAATGACTGATTCAATTAATTGCACAGCTTTTTTTTTTTTGTTGTTGTATTTGTAATCATCAGAGCTCGGGACTCTTAAAATGTTAAGAATTTTTTCAGGTCACTTTCCTGACACTCAACTTTGTGAAAATTGATCGAGTATCTCACTAGATTCTGACATTTTAAATAAGTTTTGATTCAACAAACGTACTTTTTTTACAGTTTTGGACTACGTTAGAAGCATATTTTTAATTCATTGTTTCTAATAGAAACAGAAAACATTTTATTTTTTATTTTTTCAATATTATAAAATAAATAATAAAAAACTAATTAATTAATTAGTTAAACAAATAATTACATTAGTTTTTTTTTTTTTTTGCATAAAATTTTGATGGACCGATAACAATTTTAGAATAATTACTCATAGAGTTACCCGCATTTTAACACATAGAGTGGGTATTTAGAAAGTATGAGTATATTAAAAACGCATATTTCATCGGTTTTACATACCCGCTGAATGTATTAAAATATATTTAACTTAATATGTACTTGCTCTAAAATTGCTATCGACCTATTGACTTTTTTTTAAGAAAAAGGCTAACAAATGATATTTTGAAAAATTGTTAAAAAAATTAATATAATTTTTTTTTAATTGGAGAAATATCACTTGTGAACGAACAGCACCGAGTTATTAACTTAAAATATTTCTAATCTGATTGTAAAAAGTTGTAGTTTTTTGCTGGATCAAAAATTATAAATCTGGTGGACACATCCGATAAACTGTATCACAGGGATGTTCCCTCTAAGCTATACAAATTTGAAAACCTAAATAATTTATATTATTTAATGTTTATCAATGGTAGCACTAGAATTAACGTAAACAATTTTTTTCGTGGAGCCTTTTCTATATTTTATTTTAAAAAAAACTTTTTTTTTTGTTTTTTACTTAAGCGTATATATAATGTTCTTATAAGTATAATGTTCTTATAAGCGCAAGGCCCTGACCAAGTTCATCAATGACTTTGCCCTTCTTGGTATTAAGAAAAACAAACATGAATATCTATTCAACAGCGATGTTTACGAAATGATTAAAACAAACTTTATAAATGCTTTAAGTATCGAGCCCTGGTAATCCATCCAGTGACGACCTTTAAAATCGTGATTTTGAATCAAATAACGTTGCAGTTACGCGTCTTGGATGGTGGCGGCGTCGGAGGAGGCGGTAGTGTTAGGTTAGTCCTTTTGCTGACGGATATCCAACTCCAGCCTAGACCCATTCGTCATGTATTACAGCTATTTAGTGTTACATGGCTGGTAATGGTTGAGTTGTGACGACGATATGACATGCTGTTTACACGAGTTAGGTTGAAATCCTGAGCGGTGGATTCGACAGCATTGCCAAGTATTGTCCCTCCGGCACCCACATTGCTACCGGGATTTGCCCACGGAAACCAACAAAACAGATATCTGTTGAAGTGTTTACGGAAAACACCACTGATGAAATACAATGCTATTGGATTAACACAAGAGTTGAGGAAACTTAAGCAAAAGCCAACAATGCGAAAAGCGTGCCAGTAGTCGTCATATGTATCACGTGAATATGGGTAGAAATGGAACCAAACGGTGAACACGTGATATGGCAAGAAGCTTACCATAAATATAATGACAAACGACAGAACCATTTTCGCCACTTTTTTACGGGCTTGAATTTGGCCGGACTGTCCACTTTGTTGTAGTTCTCCCGGCATATTTCTGGCTGACACCATGAGATGATGAGCCATCATTAAGTAAAAACCACCGATTACAAATAAAGGTATTACGTAGTAAGTCAGCAGTTTAAATAGTACCATGGTTTTAACAAAACCACTACCTAGAGTGGTTGGAAACGGGTAGCAGTACTCCAGTGTAGTATTTTCGGTTGTTAGTTCTTCGGTGGCTACGTAAGAAAATGTGGCTGATGGCATTGCCAACATGATAGCTAAAATCCATATGGCCACAGCCACCATTAAAGTGAATGGCTTTGATGAAACATGTCGTCTGATTGGATTGACTATTGCACAATATCTATAAATAAAAATATAATAATTAAAAAATTACCTTAAAAAGCTTTACAATTGTTAACTCGCAGTTTTCTATTCAATTTAAATATGAATTGAAATTGCTATTTTTATTTACCATTTGACGCTACATAAGAGTCTTTAGTTCTTAGCATATTATTAAGAGGTAGAGGGATGATTTAAAATAAAAAAAACAAAGTTAAATTATAAAAGTATTAATAAAAATAAATAAACAATGATAGTATTAAATATACAGAGTATTAAAAATCTAGTTGAAAAATGAATCAAATCTTAGAATGAAATTTGAACTAAATTAAAATAGCAACTCGATTGATACCTGAGATAATACCATTGAAGTTTAATAAAAATTGATGATGGGTGAATCGAATAAAAAATAACGGAGAAATTTGAAACACAAATAATAACATTGAAGTGTCACTTTAATTTAAAAGTTTAAGGCGTCGAGATTTTTATTAAATCAATAATTTAAACAATTTATGAGAAATTTATTTAAATAAGTTAACGGATTAAAAATTTAAGACTTCATAATATATCGTTTAATGTTTATTTCTTCAAAAAATTTTACACTAAAATTGACTGAAACTTTACAGTATAGAAAAGTGAATACCGTATAAAATATAAGTTTAGCCATTCTACAGTCTTGCAGTGACCGTAAAACTTTTCTAAGTATCGCTACAATAACGTTGAAATATGTAGAAAAAAATACCTCCGCCTTTTAGTAAGCATGTTTGCCATATACTTTTTACACATTGTTTACTTTAAAAACTTCTACAAGATTCTTCTACACAATAAGAGTACCCTACGAACTAAGGTTTGTATTTCGTTTGGATATTAAAATTGCATAATGCATATTGATGAAAATGTATTTACTAACTTGTGTTATCAATAACCATTCTATTCAATATTCATTACTAGTTATGATCGTATATAATCAGAGTTTCTGTTCTAATTTTTTGTTATTTCATACGTTTTCTATACTTAAGAAAATAGATTTCGTCGTTCTATAACATTTGTTGCACAATGGGCCTCACTTAATAGATTGTATTTAAACTTACCGTTCAGCACTTAAAGCTGTCAAGGTGAATACTGACACGCCAATTGAGACATCTTTTGTAGCTTCGCTAATCTTGCAAATAAGTTCGCCATACGGCCAAGACTCTACAGTATATACAGTTGATGTAAATGGCACGCAAGTGAGTATCACCAATAAGTCGCCTAGAGCTAAACTCAACATGTATGTATTGGGAACATTTCGCATGCTTCGGTGCCTAATAAATATCAACACCAAAGTTCCATTTCCTAAGACGCCTACTACAAATATTATGGCAAATATAACGGGCACGATGTATGTTTCAGGTCTTTCTGAATAAGGCACATAACGATCTTCCGAGATGTCCGTAATATTCATTTTCACCAAAATAACTCTGTAATGTATAAATTTTAAAGTTAAAGGAATTATAAAACAAAATATTGTTAAAATAAATGAATAGTAAAAAATGTGTTTTAACTATTAACTGTTGAATTTATAATACGTAATAGTAATAAGTAAAAAATTACCAAAAAATGATAAAAAATTAATATTTTTCTCTGTTCCTACTTATTTTAATAACTGATACCTGTCAATAATCAATAGTTCAAGGAAAACTTCAAAACAATTTTATTATAAACTTAACCTAGTAATGCACTAATTCAAAAAGTTTGACTAAAAATGATGTTGGATAATGATTGTACAAAATATATTATAGAATATTATTTTCAAGTGAACCGGTTGATACCTATTACGCCTCTACTATAATCAAATTTTACTACCAGTTTGATAATTATATTCAAGGAAATATGATATAATTATAATTTTTAATGGACTTTTTAAAAATAGACCATAAATATTATTTTATTTATGAACCCCATCAAAGTTATAGCAATAACTTCGAGATAAAGCAACGGTACACGTAAATCACACGAACCTGATAACAATAAGTAAACATTGAATTAATTAAATTTCTCTGGAAGCTCATAAAACCTTGGTAAATTTGTACGTTTTAGTAAATTTAATTTCAGTGCAACACTTTATCATAATCTAATGAGCATATGGAAATAACTGCACCACACATACACATACAATGGATCCCTTCACTACGCTTCACGAAAGATATTCGAAAATAGTCATTATTATTATTTTTTTTATTAATAGTTTTTTGTTGAACTGCTTTACATGAAAAATTTATTTCTACTGTCATTCCTCATACCCAATACTCGTGTCAACTTTCAGTTTTCGAATGGCAACCCAATTTTTTTAACATCAAATTTATTTTGTTTAAGTGGTGACAAAAATCGTACATATTTTAAAAATTAGCTTTATTGAGTCGCAAATTGATAATTTTAGTTTTTAAAAAACTATAAACACATTTATATATTTTTAATTCAATAACACAAATTATTAGGACATCAGAAAAATTATGTCACACAACTAATTTCAATTCAATCAGTATCAATTTTAATCAGTAACATTATCGGTAAGCACTCAAGCGATGAATATTTTCATAGAAATAATTCTATTCTTACAACATTTAAGATCATATTTATAGTTGATTATTTTCAATAAGTATTACTTGAGGTTATTAAACATGTTATTTAGATAACTTAAGTACAGCTTATTTATAGGAATTAACTATAATTGTGGCTCTTAAAATCATATTATTGCATAAACTTCTATAATTTTCTTCATATTATGACTATCATCTAATACTGTAAAATAGATGAAATAAATTAGAATTTTTATAAACTTTTAGGGAGAAATTTAACTTAAAAAAATGATTTTAATTTTTATAAATTATGGACCATTTTATATTTTAAGTTTTATTGAACAAATTGGCTATTTTGAGGTATGTTTATAAATTTTTTAAAAATTATATATTTTTTTACATAAATTAAAAATATATTATTTATAATATCTAAAAATGTAATAATTATTAAAAAAAAACTAACGTAAAATTTTTACTACATTTTTGGAATTTTTGTTTCATATATTTCTTTATTTATCAGTTATTAATTAATATTTTATTTCATTCTTTATACCTTATTAAAGTATCATAAAAATGATCATATTATATCCTTACAAAGAAAAATACTGGTCGATAACAACTTTTGCCCCATCATTTCGGAAGTTATTACATTTTTAAAATATAGACTGGTAGGAAGACGTCAGTATAATAATATTTGCCATTAGACATTTCTCAGCCGCATTTTCTTTCTTGGTTAGTTTTAAAAAATGTTTATAAATTAAAATTATTGATCCAAAAGTAATCGACCAGTAATTTTCTTAATAAGATATTTTTTTATTTTATAAGTTAGTTAAATAGGTATATGGCTCTTTAAAAAAATTTAGTTGACATCATTATAAGATATAGGGGACGAATTAAGAAGTGACATAAAAATAACTGATAAATCAAGAAATGTATGTCAAACAATAACTATGTATATATGTACATGTGTATATATATATATGGAAGTTCAATATTCCATTATTTTAAAATAACCATTTAAATTTTGATAAAATTAAAAAAATAGTAAAATATTAAGGGAATTTTTATTATTAGTTTTAGAATTTTTACTGTTATACTTAAACTTTACTTAAATGAATCTGTTTGAAAATCTTTACGAAACATTGTATTGATCTTTTATTTCTTGGGTGTGTTATTTAATCATTTTCAGTTAAACATTTAGTTTTAGATATAAAAAGTTTCAGATATTTTTCTGAAATTTACTACTTTTTATGGTAATTCTTATAACAAGTATAACTCAAACAATATTTATATATTTGAGATATAACATTATTGAGAGAAGTGAGCGATATAAAAAATGATGCACTTATCTGAATATATACAAGATGCTATACATTTATAATACAATAATATAAATAAAAATAAGAAGTTATTCATATCATTTTCATGATTAAAATACATTTAAAATGTGTTTTATTTAAAAAAAAAAATTAACGTGTATTGTCATTTAATGACAATACACGTTAATTTTTTTGCCAATGAATATAGTTAATAATATCATAAGAATATATATGAAGTATGTCAATTTCATTCAACACTAGCAGTAATTTTCTTATTGTGTTAAAAAATGTATAACATGAATTGAATAATGCGATAAAAGCTTTAGAACACATTTTTGTTGTATATTGTTACATTGTATCATTTTGTCAACTTTAAAAACTTTTCTCTCTTTAAAGTTCATGCAATTCTATAATATTCATTTATAAATCTTAGTAATGTTTTGTATTCTATTTCTTTAAATATAATGTGTTTTCCCCATGGTAACTTTTGAGAATTTGTATTTCTGCAATACTGACTATTGTAAATGTGTTATCGTTTACTAGTTAATGTCATAAAGAACAATGGACCTTAGAGGATAATTATTATTTTTGTTTTTTGAATTATTTTTCAGAGCTGACTGTAGAAAAGTGATGATGTTGTGAAAAACACTATATTATTGCGGTATATAAACAAAAAAGGCACGCCTATCCCGTGGGAAAATCTATAGTTATTAGTTCATCTTTGAAAAACGTATAGACCAACATCACGTACAACTAAAAATACAAACACCAATGAAATCTTTACTTTATAAATTATACAAAATAATAATATAAAATTAGTATACTGTAATAGAAATTTCTTTAAATTCTTAAAAAAAAAAAAATAATATCTCAATTAAAAAGCAAATCCAATTTTTTTTCTCAAAATTTAAAGTTTTCAGTTTAATAATTTAAATAAATTTTGGCAAATTATTTTAAACCAATTTGAAATTTTGATGTCCATGAAGTGATGATATTACTAGCTTTTAAATAAAAAAAAATTTTAATAAAAAAAAAAACAATTAAAAAATCCAACAATTCTTAGTAGTTTTAAAATGTTTAAATGCCAAAAAACTTATTTTACTCCTAGATAAAAGAATTTACTTATTAATATAGTCAACGTGATAGTTATGACTATCACATATACTTATTATGTAAATATATTTACATAATATTTTATTGTAATTAGCAAAACAATAATATCCGAGCTTCTTATTAAAGTGTTGATGATAAAAAAAAATGTCAGATTAAGATGATTAATTTCATTAGTAAAACATTTGTTTTCATAGATTATTGAAATTTAAAAATATTTTATCGTTTTTAATTTAATATTAGTAGCACAATCTTTTATTAGCTCAACTGAATCTATATAAATTGGTTTAGATTAAATAATTGAATTAATTATCGAAATAACTTAACAGCTATAAATAACTATATAGTACTAAATTATATACAAAAAAATGATACATATAACACAATGACATGTAATTTTTCAATTGATTGATTAATACATTCAATATAGTGTGTTAACTTATACGAAATAATTAAGCTTTATATACAAAATTGATTAGACGATTTTAATGGTTATACAGCTCATTAATATTACAATTAATTAAACTCTTCACGTAACAAATATTTTTTATAAGTTCAATGATAAATTTTAGTTATTACCTCTACAAAAGATGGACATAAAAATACGTAAAATTTCATACATTAAAAAATATACACAAATATTTAGAGGATTACTAATTCTAAAAAAATTTTAACAAAATTATTCAATTCATGATATATTGTGCAATATATGATATTTAATTTTTTGTATTTATTTATTTATTATGCTTATTATTATGCCATGACAATTGGAAAAATATTATTGCAAAATGTACTATTATTAAGTAAGTCATTTTGTATCCCATAGATTGAACAGCATACATTAAACTGAATTCTATAGTTAAAGGCATTAAAGCTCATTTATTTTCTAAAGATACATTATTGGGTATGAAAAAGTTTAAACCTTTGAATAATTTATATTCTATTACATTCTACAGGAAAACTCTGATAAAATTTTATTGTGTCATGAAATCATACACTGAAGAATACATATTAATTAATAATATTAAAGCATAAACAATAGTACTTTCGTCAAAAGTTTTATGAAAATAAAGTAACTTTAAGTTTGATTAACAATAAAGTGTTTCCAAAAGAAAAAAATAATGCTGTTAATTTTAAAATAAACTTTATTAAGATTTTAAACTAGTGTTACAATTAAAAAGTAAATAAGAAAATAATTCCACTTGAAATTATTGTAGTTGTCCTAATATTTATATTTATTCAAGGGAATTATCCTCATCAAATAAAAAAAATCTGCCAAAAATCGCAGGTGTTGAATTATATTTCAAGCCGTGTTACTCATTTCATGGTACGTGCCATAATCACAATTATAAATGAACAAAAATAAATAAATAAAAATATTTATCATGTAGATGTTTTGTTCCAAAATGTATCAAACACGTAATATTTAAGTGCGTACAACCCACTTTAATAAATTTAATTTAAATAATTCAACCATTAAAATTCAGAGTATTAACTTCGCTCTCTAATTAAGAAATGTTACTTATTAATACTACTTTTTATAAGCTATTTACATAGGACGAGTAATTTTTTTAATTTAATATAATACAAAATAAGTCATATTTTTTACTTTATAAAATAATAGGAACTTTTCGAGTTTTTAAATTGGTAATTGTGTTTTATTTTATTTTTAAATTTAGTTTCTCAATATCCAAAATCAAATGATTGATTCGGAATAATACTAAAATTAAACTAGAAAAATAATTTTATGACTTGTTGAATAATGTTGATGACAATTTTTTAAGTAATATTCCATACTTTTTAAAGTACTAGATCATTTTTTTAAGTTGTAAGAGTTTGTAAAAGTAATTTTTTTTTACTCGTGTTAAACTATAGCATAAGAAGTTATTAACAATTTAAAATAATGACTGGTAATGAGGAGTGGGTGCACTATTTTTATCATAGTCATTTCCCGACTTATTCTTTCTTCCGCCTAGATATAAAAAAACAAAACATTTTTTTTTCAGTGTTGTATTTATTTTTAGAGTAATCGAGTGGTTCATGATAAACCACCAATCCTTTTATAAAAATAGTATAATGGCTTTTCAGACGGGTTTTTTTTATTTCATATGGCACAATGGTGAAACAAGCTAAGGGCAATACATAATTAAAATACAAATAGAATTTAAATTTTAACTGAAATACAATCACTAATTATGTGATAAATAAAATAATGATAACTAATCTATTTTTATCTAAAGTTAGACATCAAGATTGTACGGCTATTCGACTATCACTTTATCTCTCTTGTGTATTGTGTTTATTCAATCGTTATATTTTGTCCGTGGGCACTTTCAACAATATGTTTTATTGTATGGATTTGCCCACAGTCACAGTAAGGCGAATATCATTTTCGACTTATGTAAGTATTTACTTCTACACTGCTCTGTTTGTATTCTATTTAAGGAGTTCATACAGTTCTTGGGTAGTGAAAACCTATGACTCATTGAGTAGGATCACATGAAGACGTTCATTATTGACATTACTGTCTAAGTATTCTTCCACATACCTGTTTCTTGTAAGTGACATTTTTTGTAGACCATATTGGGTTCCTCGATTATATTCTTTTGTTCGGTATATTATTTATGTCATTATAAGCCTAGCGGGAAGTACGCTGCATCATTAGTTTCTGTAATATATTAGCGATTACTACATGTCTCCGAATATCCAGCGGTGTTTTGTGTTGAGAGAACTGTTAGCTACTGTGATTTAGTTGACCGGACATAGATATAATTTTCATTGTATTATTCTACTGGTGTCTACTTTTTTTTTGTATGTGCTATTCTCTCTCACACTGGAGCACAATATTTCGCAACGCCATGTATTAAAGTAATGCATGAAGTATATTTGCTTAGCATCCCAAACTTGTTCCTTCTAATTTACTAATAATATTATTTCATGCTTTCAATTTGTTAACATATTCCAGATGTTGGTTAAATGTTAATGTTCTATCCAACTTGATTCCGAGGTACTTATGGAAATTACAACTCATTATGTTTGCTCATAACCACCTTTTTTCAGGCGTATAACTCGGAAATAAATTATTGATCGATCTATCATACTCGTGACAATTTTGTTCATTTAACAAAACATTAATTAATTTGGTAGTCTAATAGTCTAATAATTTAAAATCAATTTTATTTATACATTTTCAAATGTATATATTATGTTAAAATGGGATTATTTTAAAAGTTTTGAGTCAAAGTTTTACTTTGTACTGTTGTTGACATATATTAATTTCACCATGTTGTTAAAATATTCATATTTTGTAATTTTTTAGTATTAAATCTCTATAACTAAGTTTTGAACTTTTCTGGCATTAATAATTTAAATGGTTAAAAAAAATCGTGTATTGAATTTTGACTTTGGAATGTTTCAAAATAAAAAATGTTGTATTAATTACACTTACTTTCAACTATGAAATGAATATAAATGATATATATACATATTAATGTACTGTGTGATTCGTAAATAATAACTCACTTTAATATTACACATTAATAATATAAGAATAATCGTAGTTAAATGGTTACAAAAATCACTACTTTCTCTACTCTTAAAATTTACAATAAAATAAATTAAATATGGTTGGTACGAAATTTTTATCTTTTAGAGTAACTAACCCAGTTACATAACACATCCAAATAAGTGAACACCATCAGTGTTTTTGGAAATTTAAACTCAGAGTTAAGTAATTTTTTTCATTTGCGATGTATGATTTTAATGTTAAAATTTTAAACACTCATGTTGACATTTAAATAGCAGTGAGCAATAAAAATTCCGTTCAATTTCAAGGCATTCTCGGTTATTTTTAATTTAAATTCCATCTAGATGATTTACTTTTTATTTGATATCGCTAAAAGTATTGAAATTTAAAAGTAGATTAAAATATTATTTTTTATATCCATATATTATATGTGAACTCGTAATAATAAGTTTGTTATATAACTTTGATAGTCAATTAATTCTTAATTGTTTGATAACTAGACGAGTTACCTTAGTGCTAATAAATATTTTGAACTTTTTGCTAAGATTTACCATCATGAATAATTACAAAGGTTTTAGAGTATATCCTGTAAGTTTCTTCAAAATAGAGTATTACGAAGGTCTATTGGAATTACAATTAAGGTAACTCAAATCGGAAATATTTAATGTTAAAATGTCCTAATCCATGCTAAAATCTGATGTTTTTTTTTCTCAACGAATTATAAATCGTCTACTCAAATTAATCTATTGAATTGGGGTAGTCTATTTATTGAATAGCTTAAGTATAGCTCGGTAAGGGAAACCTTTTGTTGTTTCTGAGAGCATCCCCGTGATAGCATTGTGGTTAGAAAATATCTGGAGTTTAAAAGAATGTAAGCTCGACTAACCATTAGTAATTCAATAATATCAACAACAAAAAGGTGTTTTTCATTGTTCTTTTTTATTGGTTGAACCACAGAGAGTATAAAGTTTTTATATTGTTGTATTATTAGAAAATAAAGTACAATATTATCTGTAGAATTTAGGAATACGTGGAAATAAACATATTAAATCTTCAACATGTGTATTGAAATCTGATAAACTAATCTTTTGTATAGTAAATGACTGTTATAGTATTGAATTTTGTTTTTCTATTAATTCTACGTAAAGATATACTACTTTAAGTGGACGTTTGGTCTACTAAAGGTTATATTATAATAATGATCAGAGACCAGACCATACTCAAGTTTAACAAATAAGATTCTAATATAAATTATAAGGATATTTAATACCTGAAATTATTCCGCATTAGTTAAAAACAAATTTATTCTCGAATATTGGAATTATATTAATTGAATCATAATCGCCTTTTCATGAGGAATTATTTAGTTTCAGCGTACAAGGGAAGACATAAAAGATGACGTTTAACGGCTATGGCGGTAGGAGCGGCTGATTTATTACTCTTTATCACTTTTAAGATTCGACTTTATTTTTTGCTACCTCCAAATGTCAATGGTTTAATTCCGTTTTAGATTAAGTTCGGACAATTAACCTCGTCGTTCATATACAACCGACTGCCGACAAAAACACCGCCACAGTGACGACTGCTCGTATTATTTTTGTGCGACAGTAAATAATAATAAAAATAATATTGTTCGTTATTGGACTCTTAAAGTCTTTGACCTTAAAACAACATTTTAATCACAAAAAATTCATTAATCAAGTGCAACACTATTACTTATCACATCATTTAATTTTAAGTATTTTTTTGTAAAATGGTCCGATTACTCTTTTGATTTTGATATGAACCGAGTAGCTGCATGAGTGAGCGTAATTGAAAATTAAAATCCTAAATGGTTAAGACCATTATTGACGCTTACTATTTTTATGGTTCAGCACACATAAAATTTTACATTTATCAAAATAATAACTCTTTTTTATGAACGATTATTTTAACTGTAATCAAAAATGATTGCATCTCTGTCGAAGTTACTTTTACAAGTGGTCGCCATTGATAGTCAGTGATAAATCATTTGAAAAGTCTAACAGTTTAATTGTTTCTTATATTCAATTATTGTAGAATCTTGGAGATCAGTGTAATTAGTAATTTGTAAATTACATTTTTTCAATGTTATATTTTATGTGGTAAACAATTTTTTATTTGTTGTCAGAGAAATTGATTAGTTTAAAAAATCTCTCCCGTTTGTATAAAATCACGTAGTAAAATTATGTTCTAATAAAATATTACATCCACAAGTAGTCTACACTTGATTTCTTTAGAGTATTTTTACCAATCTGTTGCCGATCCAGGTGGTATTATCTTGAAGTATGCATTACACAACAAAACTATTTACACACAAAACATTTTTAAATTTTTGATAGAATATTATACACGGAATTTAAGTAAACAAAGACTTAGTTGATCGATTTTATTTTCATGAAAATGGCGAACATTTTCTGAATTGGATTATTAATATAGTTTTCCTATCAGCTTGTCCATCGTGAATTTTTCTGAGACAACTTGTTTACTTTTTCATCTTTAAACAAACACTACACATTGGTGTTGCTCTCAAGACTAAATAATACTACATTTCTCCTTATCACGCTTTTACTTAAGTCATCCCATCAAATAAATATATTAAACAAAATAGTTTTGACCATTCGAAGTCGTATGACAAAACATTCCTCTGTACCTTTTAATATTTCAGTTTTTTAAACATTTTTAATTACTTGATAAGTTAATTATTTATTAATCAAAATGTATTATTTATTTTTTAAATAGTTATTATGTAAAAATATATTTACTTAAAGAAGTGTTAAAAAAATGTTAAGCATGTTTTAGACTGGCTAAAATATTATTTATAGTTAGAATAAACCTATTAAAAGTATAATCTTGGAAAGTCTTTTTAATTCTAAAATACTTGAATGATTTTATTATAAGTCTAATACAACTGTAAAAATTGAAAGAGAATTTTTATAACCAAACGAATGTATTATTGCTATTCCATTTTATGTATCAAGATAATGTATGTTTAGGCACAAAACATTTTCATGCGAATACAAGAATTTCACCAAATGTCATAAAACTTCAAATAAATGGTAGGAATGTATGACTTTACAATGAATGCCATGGAAAATGTCAACCATTTATGGGTTATATAGCAATACATCAAGTATAAGTAGAAAAAATACGTGTTTATTTAAATTTAATACTATTGATAAGACACGAAGTCGAAATAATTTTTATAACTTACAATCTATATAAAAAGTTAATATATTAGTTAAAAATTATAACGATGAATTGCTCGAGAGGAAGCACACGTTAGATTTGCCTGAAAATTATTAATTATTTATCAATATGTTTATTAATTATTAATCGCATCATAGAAAATCAATAGTTTTAGTTAAGTGTAATAACAAATCGAAATAATAGAAAAATAAATTTCAATATTCATTAAAAACAATTAAAAAAGTGTTGTTATTTTTTTTTCAATAACAGAATTTTTTTAATTAAGGCACGTCTTAGTTGTAGGAAAAATTGATGTTTTTTCATATAAACTCTTAATGTTAGTGTTAAAAACAAGGGTAAGTACTAAAACCTTTATATGTATTTTAGCAATTTATAATTACTACCGTTTACTTTTTATTTTAGTAAAAAAATAGGTTGATATCTGAGAAAGTTGTACTTACATAATTCTTAATAATGATTATTTTATTGTGTTAAGAAAAAATGATATAATATTTAAGACTCAAAATATGACTTATGAAGTAACCCATTAAAATAGTGAAGAAGGTTATGACTTTAAGAGTAGTGATCTGCCATCAAGGTGAACATCAATTTTACTTGGACAATGCGTATGGCAGGGATTATTTGAAAAATACAACAAAAAATATTTTTCTTAAAGCCACTCAAAAGCATTATGTGGTAGTTTATTCGTCATAGAAAAATATAGTAACATTTTATAGTATAATACCTCCTCAGATTCTAAATGTATATAATAATTTTAATCATTATCTAAGTGTATACAAAACAATTAATTAGTGTTTATGTAATTCATTAAAAACTTATAAATTAATTTAATTATTAATTAATTAAATTATCTAAACTAAGACAAATAATGTTTTGTCAAAATTTCTCATTATAAATGATGAAACAATTCTCTTTTGTTTTTTCAAAATTAAATTGAATATAAGTCAATTATGTCAAGAAGCCTCGCTTCTTTTTTTTTATCACATTATTTCGGTATTATTTTTAATTAAGACTATAAAGCGTTAATTGTTATTTTCATTATCGAAAAAAGACAATTACAATAAACGGTTTAACTTTTTTTTTGCTAAAAAGGGGTAATGATCAATCGAGTTTTACACAGTTAATTTCATTAACCTCACCTTATTAGTCAACCAATTCCATGAATTTTTAATTTAAAAATACAAAAGTAAAAAACATTTAATTTCGTTAATAAAACGATATTTAAACTATTTGCTTTGTAAAAAATTGAAAAAGGATTGTTTTTCAGGAATTTTAATTATGTAGATAATTAAAATACATTTGAAGTTGAATTAAAAAAAACTATAGAACTGTCATTTAAACATTTAAATTTATGTATGTGAATAATGTTCTAAAATCGAAGTTAACATTTCAATTTATAATATTTTAGTTTCGATGCAAAGCTGAGAAGTATTAATTTTATTACAATGTGTTTATTTATTTTTTATTTGTGTCTGTTACAATTATTTCTCAACTCTCACTAAACGGATTTATTTCAACAACATAACAAAAGATCACAAATAGTATCTAGTCAAAGAAATAACCCTCAACAATTGAAAAAATTTCTTTTTTTTACTTTTTACATTTTGAACACTACATTAACAACCCTTAAATGGAGGACATTCTCAAAATAATACACGAATCAAAATATATTTACTTCTAAAGATACCGTAAATAATTTTCTGTCATTTGGTATACTTTTTCTTATAATTCAACTCTTTACCTGATAACAAGAGGGAATTCAAAATTATAACTTTACACAAAAAACTAATATTTTAACTTAACTTTTGATAATTATACGGAAATATTGACACTGTTTTGTATATTTTAAATTAAAGCTTATGTAATACACTTCAATTTAAATCAAAAACTTAGTCCCCGCATCTTATCTTTGTAATGAAAACAAACATCAAATTAAAAAAAAAAATACGTTTTTTTGTTGAAATTCTGGATTTAATATTTTTAAATTTATATTGCTTTAACTTTTTGAAAAATACCTAAATAAAACGAATGTGCACTACTATATTGGTATAATCCCACTTCCTTGACAATTCCACATGCAGGTTTAAAAGAAACTGGAACGTGACCTAATAACATATAATCAAAAAAAAAAATTTTTACCGGGGTGTTACTAATGGTTGATTACCTGACATGTTTTTTACTCAAAGATGTACATTCACTCGACAATATAACAATAAAAATTATTGTTATATTGTAAAGATTGTTTCGCTAATAAAGAGGTAAAATAAACACCTCATATTTATACACTTTATGACGATTTAAATAATGGTATTTTTCAAATTGATACGCGTTGAGGAACTTATTTGATTGCTAAATAAGTGAAGTAAATTTACGATAAAAGCTCAAAATTTCGTTAAATCACTATTTATAGAATTAAAAAAATTCAATAAAAATTATAGTGATCATTTTTGTGAAACACTTGGTGTTATGTAAAATGGATATTCAGAAATATTCCGTGCCTAGTTTCAACTTTGATTTCATCTGCTGTCGTGTTGTTGAATTAAATTTAATCTACAATTTTTTTATACGTAAATACTAGTGTTTTACTAATTAGTTATCATCTTAAAAATTATAGGTGGTACAAAAAATATAATTTCATATTCAAAATCAGTGAAAAAAATTTATTTGACTCTAATGAAAACTCGATGTAGACCAGTGTATTTCATAATTAATAAACATTTATTTTCTGAAAAGTTTTACATGAAGCTTTTCAATTTTTATATACGTTTGCTATTAAAATAACAAAAAATACAACTACTTCATTATTTTTTACAATTTATCCGTAAAAATTACAATATTTAAATTATTGATTATCAATTTCATAATAAATTTAATTACTATAATTAGTATTTCATTAATAATGTATTCATATATTATACGTATGTACAAAGACTACTACTAATCAGAATATAATTGAGGAAATAGGAACAGATGTTGCTTTTGAAATAATTCACCAATTTCTCAAATGCAAACATTATCTACAAATTCGTATCCAAGTGCTTTTTATAATAGTGATTTTTATTACTTTCGGATATCAACTATACTTGTTCTAACTATTCTACATTTACACTGTGCCGCCACCCTAACTGTGCTTCCGTTTTTCATTATTCAAAATGGAATGAAAAAATCTAAGGTTATTTTCTAGAGGCAGATTATTTAATTTTATAGAACCTACATTTTATTATTATAATTTATCAATCAAACATGTGTAGGGTATAATTACCAGTATATAATCACCAAATAATCTGATTACGGCAAATAGTAGTTAATATATAGCTTATATGTAATATAAGGAGTAATTATTTATATCAAAGAAAATATCTTAATGTAGCCCAATCATTTGAAAATTCTGATTTTTAACATGAAATAATATATTAAAAGTAATGTTAAAATTAATAATAATTATATCTAGAGGATGTTATAAATGACTTTTAAGAAGTAGACGAAATTATAAATAAAAAAATCGTAGTATAATAAATTTGGAAATCCTTTACCAACCCATAGGTGCGCATTAAATGGTTTTAAACATCACTGAGTAATAAATTAACAACCCTATATTTTTTTTTTGTTAATTTTTCCATTAACTATTAACAAAAAGGCCATTATTATATTTAGCAGCCTCAAGATATAAAATATGTGCGAACATATAATTTTCCTCAATATTTTAAAATTACATACATATTTTAAACAGAATACCTTTCTTTATTATAAATATTATCTGAACCAATAAATAATTAAAATATAAAATGTAATTTATAATGCGCTATGTACTATTTTATTACACTATTTAGAAAAAGGTACAATCGATGGAGGCGATCATTTATCCCGCGCAAGAAATAACCGCCATTGAATGATGAAGAATTTTTCAGCAGAAAAAAATATAAATTAAGGTAGGATTTAAAAAAATAAATCTTTACCTATTATTAACTGTTTATTCACCGATAAAGCTACCCTACTACTCATAATTAGTTTTCATGAAATATTAATAATAAGTCAACAAGCTTCAAATGAATTAATTTCATTGAATACAACTTCAAGTATGTTTATCTAGAAATTATTGACAACAAATGCAATCAAGAACGCAATATACTTTATAATTTGACGGAGCATCAGTACTATTGTTATTCCACTAGTATAGCCGATAAAATAAGTGTACCTATAAATAATGAAAAACATCACTTCAATTCAAATGAATATACAGTTAGCAATTTATGAACCGATTAAAATAAGTTTAGAAGAAAAAAACGTTCATTTGTTTAACTCTTCTTTCTCATAACTTTTTTGTTGAATGATACGACGTCGTTGGTAATTACTAAAAAAGTTATTAGGATTTATTTTATTTAAAAATAAATTTCTCGATTGTATAGTATTGAAAAACGTTTTTTTCAAAGATAAATTGATTTATAAGATTAATTAAGTTTATGCTATTATTATACTAATGTATTTTTCAGTTAAAAATACTTAACTAGTATTTTCTTAGTTAAAATTATAATATACAGAGTGACCCACTACTCACTGACAACTTAAATAACTTTTGATCCAGTTAATATTTTTAGCTGATTTTTTTTTAAATAATAGTTATACGTTAGGTCCATAGCTATATCTCAATAATTAATTTTTTTACATTTTATTAAAAATATTATTTATTTTTAAATTTTAAATAAAATGTAAAAAAAAAATCTAAGATAGCTATTTTGTAGAGTAGAATTTAAGAAAAATTTTAGTAAAAAAATATCTTATTAATATTCAGTAGTAAATATTCTGTAGCGTTTTGAAGTTTGTGAAAATTTGAATTTTCATGTACTATTTTACGGTATTAAACATTGAAATACGTATTGAGAAAAGGACAGAAGAAAACGCTATCTTTTCAATATACTTTTGAATGAGAGTGATAAGTAATAATTGCCTTATCTAATTTCTTATCATGGTATTAATGCCAAGTTTGTAATGTATACACATTATCATCATATGTATACACAGTAATCATGAAAAGATAGCGTTTTCTTCTGTCCTTTTCTCAATACGTATTTCAATGTTTAATACCGTAAAATAATACATGAAAATTCAAATTTTCACAAACTTCAAAACGCTACAGAATATTTACTACTCAATATTAATAAGATATTTTTTTACTAAAATTTTTCTTAAATTCTACTCTACAAAATAGCTATCTTAGATTTTTTTTTTACATTTTATTTAAAATTTAAAAATAAATAATATTTTTAATAAAATGTAAAAAAATTAATTATTGAGATATAGCTATGGACCTAACGTATAACTATTATTTAAAAAAAAAAATCAGCTAAAAATATTAATTGGATCAAAAGTTATTTAAGTTGTCAGTGAGTAGTGGGCCACCCTGTATATCATTATAATAATAAATAAATAATTTAGATACTTAAAATATCTCGTCGAATAATAATGATTAAGATGTTAATTTAGTGATAAAAAATTAAGTCTGTTATTTTAATAATTTAAAAAATGATGGTTTTAAGGAATAATAATTGACGAGATATTTGAATCTTATGTAAGATATGTAGTATAAAGTAGCATAAATTATTTTTTTCAAATAGTATTAATTTTATTGAATACTTACTTATAATCTTGTAAACTTTGAGATTTTAATAATCGCATTATTGAATGAGGGTAATAGAAAACTCTTAGTTAAAAAGCAAACAAATAAATGTTGTAAAAAGTTCATATTATGATATTAGGAGTCTTTATGAGTTTAAAAATAATAGATTCTCTTGTAATAATTAATAAAACACGTGCATTTAGAAAATCTTATTTATGTTATCGACAATTATTGTGGATATAAAATATAAAATTTTTGTTTTGAATAACTTGTTAATTTTATAGTATACTTATACATTTTTTCTTTACTAGGATATTCGTGAAATAGTTTTTGGAAAAATTACGTTTGGCTAAACGTTTGGCATTAAGTTATTATAAAGAAAAATTTTAAAAAGTCAAGAAGATTTATTTGGATTTAGTTTTAACCCTTAAAATATAGCTAAAATGAATTAAGATAATTAAAATTTATCATTTTGTAGTCCATATATATTTACTGCTGTTTGATATATTTTTCACTTAGATTAGATTAGTGCTGTATGAATTGTATTTCATTAAGTTTTTATTGAATAATTACGCACATAGAAATAATATTTTTGTACCTTCCTCGTATACTATTGCATTTTTGTACCATAATAGCTCCTATTTAAGTTAGCCTCTTATTTTATTTATTATTATTCTAGAATAGTGTAACAGTAATTTCCACGTCTTAAGTTGGCACTGAGATTGGTACATCTCAGTCATTAATGACTAGCTAACAAGTTCTTTACTCAAAGACGTGTTTCGTTGTAATACTATATTCTAAAAAATATTACTTTTTCGATGTTTTAATTCTATTATCAATGTTTATAGTTGACAAAATAATATGCTCTTGTGTAGAATGTATGGAGTATCTCTGAACTAAATGTCAACACAACCTTATCGTATGTTACCGCCTACAAAGCAACCCCCATAGTTTCAAATTAATAGAGCCACGGCAAGTTTATCGATGTCACAATGCTGGTTACGTTTCATAGCCAGATTTTTAGGTAAAACTTCTACTAGAATTTCCAGTTAAGTATTACCAGCTACGGCTCCTAGAAATGTCTTAGTATAATTATAAAATTAAATCAAAAATTTTACTGCAAAAGTAATAACAATAACAAAAAACGTGATTATTTAATTAAAAATTATTGTAGCGTTATGACTTCAAAATATAGTATATGTATTTGGTTTGATAAAATTTCATTAATCATTGTCATTGTATAGTCTTCAAAAACCGGAAGCTTAAATCGTGCACGTATTTTATATAATACCTTATATCACCAGTAGAAATTTTCCTAGATAGATTTAGTATTAAATAAAATTAAAACTATATTAAAAATATTATTAATTTAAAAAGAAAAAAAATATTAAACCCAAAAGCTACAAAAATTACTGAAAATTCGAGGATAGTTTAGCGTATCCGCCACTTTACCGTGATTTTTTGTAACTTTTGAGTTTAATATTTTTTAGTTTTTAAATCAATAATATTTTTAATATAGCTTTAATTTTATTTAATTAATTAGCCACAATTGATAAATTTTTATTAAGTTGGTATTAAATTTATTATGGGAGCGGATATACCTTAGATAAGGAATTATGTTCAAGATCATTCTAAATAGTTTTCACTGGTATTTTTCATTTGCATTTATTCGTTATTATTATATGTTATGACAACCTCATAAATAACACGGGTCAACAAACAATTTTTATTGTTTACATTTTATAGATCAATTCTATAAGTTAATAACAATTTATACAGTTGTGATAAAATATTATGTTGGATACTTTTGTTTTTAATAAATATAATATGATTAAATAATCTTTAATTAGCTTGTTCAAATGGATTTGTCAGTTATATGTTTCATACTGTATGTTTTATTTTAGTTAATAATAAAAAATAAATATTCCATAATACCAGTTAAATGGATTATTTACTGTAGAAAAATGTGTTTTTTGTAAGTGGCCAAAAAAAAAAAAATGTCAAGAACATAATTATAGATTTTACTCAACCAAAGAATGATTGGCATTCATATCCCATTCAGGTTTTATCTCAGTATTTTGGTAAGTTTTGTGATAATTTTTAAAAATTCAAGTTGATTATTCTGAAGTTTCTATGAAAGAAAAGAAATATTTACATCTTCAAACACCACACCAACTAAAAAAAAAGGACCAAACAGAAAAAGCAATTGATGATAGTCCTAGTAATAAGTTTACTTCCTAACTCTGTAGGATAGTTTTATTTCTTACTTTCTTACGCTTGAGAAATATACCAAGATTTTATTAAACGGTTTTGAATACATACAGATATATTAATATTTTAATATTATTGATATAACTAAAATTTTATCAGTGTAATATATTAGTTCTTATTTTTTTTTAGATCCTGAAAGCGTTTCATTTAAAATCTGTAAACTTGGTCAATAATATTTTTTAAACTATTAATTTTAGATGCTAATTCCGGAAATTAATTATCTACTTTGATTATTCATACTACCCATTATAATACATTTTATAAAATTTATTACTTTACCGAGAAATAATTATATATGAATAATTAATTAATTGTAATTGTATAAATATAGTTATAAAATACTCGATTATTCTTTGTGATATCTATGTGAATTAATTTGCGATGTACTTGGATGAATTTTTACACACAGGGAAAATAGTTATACAGAATTCACCACAGTACTATAAAAATGTTAGAGAGAAACTTCTATTATTCAAAAAAAATTATAATTACAAAGGACTAACATAGCTAAAAGTATCCCTAAATAGTTTTGTGTTCATAAGTTCTCTTTTAATTTTTTTTTTTTGTAAAACTTAGGCGTCTAGATAAAATTATCAAATTTTTATAATCGCTTTTATTTTGTAGCATCACAGATGTTTTATTTCTCGATTTACATTTATTGGAAAAATACTTTTTTTAAGTAGTTTATCATGCGTTTTTCAATTTAAATTTACTTACAGTGTTATTAAATTTGTTATACATCGTTATATTGCGTTTTTGATGGGATACTTTTTATTCCTTTGTTCCTATATAACTCAAAGTATAAAACGCACGTTCATTGATCAATACGTCTGTATTTCATAAAACCGTGACAGTCATGAATCGGAAACAATTATTTATAAGAAATCATTGTTCTCATTTTTGTTGCGTAGATGCGTCACATAAAATAATTTTTTTTTAATTATGATTATAATGAGAGAAACTTTGGTGAAGAGTATATAGAACTAAGATTCGTTGAGATATTTGGTTCATATTATAACATACAATAAATTGATAAATTAAAATAATTTAAACCGAAATGATATGTGTACAGTGGAGATTTTGGAGAACACTATATTTATTTTAACTAGACTAAAAGTCATTTAATATTTTATAATGATAATATTTTAAACAGAATAGTATTGAAATATCTAGATTGATATACTCAATCAACAATATTTAAAAAGACCATGTTCAAACATCACAGATATTAGTTATTTTAAATGTTTATGTATTCACAAAGAAAATAATTCCTAAAATGATTGAATTTTTTTGTTAAAAAGTAAATAATTGATATATTTATATTTACTCTGTGTACTTTTACAAAAATCAGTTTTTTCAAAGCTCTAATATTTGATAATAACAATTTTTTATGTGTTTATTTTTAATTAGTATTATTTATATATTGTGTTTTTTGAGTTTCTTTAACTCAAACTATAATATTTTAATATAAACGACTTATCTTTAAAAACTTTAATAGCAGAAATAAAACATAACGTCCTATTCATGGTATCAATACATAAAATTAATTATAATTTGACCGCTACGACGGCTTAAAGAATTTTCAAATGATTTAGTTTGTGTGATTTAGTGAAATCAATCTATCTAGTGTGTTCATTTGATGAGAATAATAATGTGGGCTACTAGGAGATTTAATGGTAAGATGTTTTTCTCCGGATTTTTATTGAGAGGTTAGGATAAATGATCGACGTGTAACTAGATACGTCGCTTGTAACGTATTGAGATCAAAAGACTAAAAGTCTATGTCAGCCATTAATATACAGGCGATCATGGTAATGTTCTATTTCCATGTTCATAACCAATTCTATAAACTGGAATAAAAATGTAATACTGTAAGTATCTTTAGTGAGAATTATTTATTGTACGAAAATCATAATTTTCAAAACATAGTAATAGATTAAAATATTTTCGACTAGAACAGTTAAAATTTTTAATTAAATTGTTTTTGTTTTGGATCAATCTAAATATTTTTAATTGTAAAATATTACAATGTTACAAATATAATAAATTAGAGTTTAATAAGATTTTAAACAACATCAAATACTTTGGTTACAAAAGTTTTTTGTATTTTGTTTAAAAATTTTGTTTTCTATTATATAGTTAAGCAAAGTTATTTCAAATCTCCTTGTTGTATCTAATACAATTTTAATAAATGTATATTAGTAAAAAGCAACATGTTGATATTTTCAGTAGAATTAAATCATAGAATAATACTAGATGTTCGGTTTTATGAAAGGATTAAATTTAGATTTACAAAGACAAAGATTTTCGCTTTGTAGAAACGTCTCATTAGAAAATATTTAAAGTTCATCCTAAATTTTGTAAGATGTGAATTTATCTTTAATCGAAATCATTACTAAGTTTTGTGTCAACATACATCTATTCAAATATTTAACTGCGCTAAACATCATTATACAATATTAAATTCGTAAAAAAGACATAAGAGACAACTTTGATATTATCTTATAAATAATACAACTTTTAATATATGTCATTATTAAGTAGAAAAACGGTGTGATAGAATTGTCTACAGACATAGTTTTTAGCTAAACTGACAGTATCACTAAAATAAATTTTATTTTTATAATCAATAGTCATTATGATTTCCATTGCATTTTCATATTTTTCTATTTGATTAGATAAAATTAACAATATAACCTGTAAAGATCCTTTTATACGCGTACATTTTTATGTGTATTGAGATAATTCAATATAATTCATTAAATACAATTGATATTGAATCATGCTTGAAAGAATTGGATTGTATTTAAATCATTCTTGAATGGTACTACTTAATGTTTGTTATATTCTGATGTAAGATTAAATGTTATGTGGTAATTGTACAAAGTGTAAATGTAATAAAATAGATGAAATAAAAAAAGGTTTTTTTGAAAATACTTAAACAAGCTGTGTATTTTTGGAAATATATTTTCTTTTAAATTTTATTTAATAAAGTTAATTAAACATTTATGTAAAAAATTATGATAGCCAGTGAAATTAAATTTTTTTTTTTTTTAGAAATCTACTATAACATTTATTTATTTATTATTTTTTAATTTTATTTTGGTCTTTATGCTGTGTTAATACCATTTTAAATGAATTTTTACGCTTTTATGCTTTCACTCATAAATCCTCCTGAAATTGAATTCCAGAATAATAAAGAAATAACTTTTTAACAATATTACGAGAAAAACATTACTATGACAATTGCAATACTTGAAATTTTTGTAAAAATAAAATAAGATTATCCAAACATTATTTCCACCAAAAATAAATGTTAAATTATTAATTTTCTTCTTGTTAAAAAGTGGTACATTTTTTTTTTTTTGCTAAAATACATAATTGTTTAATTATAATACTTTTTATAATGTTCCTATCAAGTAAAAAAAATTAATTATTCTCATAATATTTGGCTTTATATTTTGATAACATAATATTTTCTAAAAGTTTAAATTCAAACGATATAAAAAGTTTTATGTTTAGATGAAACACAGGATCTTAAGTTCTAAAATATGTTATAAAGTATTAGTTGTTTATTTTGTTTTGTGATTCATTTTTAATACATTATATTATAAGGAATTTTTTTAATCGAGTGGGTAGTCCTAGCGATTCTTTACATTAGTATTATGTATTATTTTAAGCAGAATTTTCAGAAAAGAACTACAATCTATATAATTAAAGACATTATTGAATTTAATATATAAGTGCTATGTTTGTTTTTTATAAAAACATTTTAATCAAAAAATTTTATAGTAAATTTCAGTAATAGAAACTTTTAATTAGAAAGTTTTACCGAACATTAAAATATTACAAATCTTGATAGTTAAGTAAAGAGGTGTACTCAGCAGATTTATTTTTTATTTGCCTTATGATAATTTTTATTGAACAACAGATGTAAAAAGTCTATAAATGAAATATAATAGTGATGAAAATAAGTCTGTGCAAACTTAATTTAAAAGTTCTCAAAGAAATAACCTAATTAATTAAGCAATAGTTAAACAAACATCACGTTATAAAATAAATTTAAAGATGCATCATATGTGGATTTCAGTATACAATAAAAATATGTTTTTCTTTTTCCACACAATAAGATCAAAAGAAAATTTATTTTATGTTACTACCAAAAACAAAATATTGATCTTAAAAAGAATTGTGGTCATATGATATTAAAAAAATTAACATCTAAAATGTTTATTTTGTTCGATATATATATACATAATACCGGTATAGGTGCCATTTATTTTAACTATTAAATCCAATATGATTTGTAAATTAAAAATTAAAATAAGAATATCACATCATAAAAAACATATAATTTAAATTTTTTTATCATATTTAGTTTACTCATTTTTAGTAGTTGAGATGCTAATGTACTACCATAACAACCGGAGTGTTAAGAGATACTTTCACATGATACACTCGATTAAACAAAATAATGCCTAAGAATTATTTTTAGTATGAAATTGTACAGCTTTTAACTACATAATTTAAATAACTATTTTTAATATAAAAAGTTAAGATGAAGAACATTCAAAAAGACATAAATTTAATTATTTTTAAATGTCTTAATTAAAAAATAAATAGGAATCCAAATTTTTTATAAATAAAAGTTATGACAAATATAATTGTTTTCATTTTATATGGTAGTTAAGTTATCTTTATTTAGTAAAGTAAAATTGTTTAACTTTAAACTTATGAATGTATTAAAAATTTGTAATTAACTATAAAATGCGCCAATGTTCATGATAAATTATAAAAGGTTTATGCAATAAAACAAGAATTAAAATAAATATGTATGATATAAAAAGATACCATTTAAAGCTATATGATTTTTTTCATTTATGAGATACGAATTTTAAACGCCAGGGAATTATAATAAAACTTTATTAGTGTAATAATATTATAAAAGTTTTTTGTTTACAGTGAATAAAACCTATTTTTTTACTTAGTAACTATTAATATAAATCTTACTATTAACTTTTACCTAAAGAAATATATTGTTCAACTTGTGTTTCTTTTAAAAAAATAATAGTATCAATA